TAACATCTTTCAAACGAATAAAATTATACATTTATTAGTTTGAAATTTCACTATACCATGTAGCCTTTGGTTGATTTAACTAAAAATTAAATTTTTAGTATATTTTGATACAAATTAATGAAATGTGTAGTTAAAAACTCGACAAACTCAATACCCACAGGACCCCGCTTAATCGGGTATTCGAGTCGAAGACGGGATGGGGCGGGTACGGGTAACTGGTACCCCGCCCAATATAAATTTTTTTTAATTTTTTATTTTTTTAGAATTCAATAATTTAAATGAAAAATTTCATGAAATTTCATTAGTTCTAATAAAAATGACAATTAAGATTATCTAAAAAATATAACCAAAAATAAAAGCATTAATTTACAAAATATATTTGAATAATTTAACTTCTAAAAATAAATTCAAAATAAAAAAAAAATATTATTGTCTCACTATAATGAATGGGGGTAGGGGTGGGCAAAACCCTACCAAACCTTATTTTCAAATTTTCTATCTCGTGTGAGCTCTAATAACGACTATATTTTTCATTTTCATTCTACAATAAGGTGGTTCGGGCCATAATGTCAATGATCATTTTAGAGCTACTTCCGCAAGTGCCACAGAAAGAGGAGTCAACAACTGCTAAGGTTCTCAAATCAGGCAGAGGCTTATTTTATATGAGATATTTTCTCACAACCGAACTAACTCAATCGGGTTGAGTCGATTTTTTTGTTGTTTTTACATGGGTTGGTTGTGTATGTGGGTTGGGTCGGGTTGTGTTATGGTTTAACTCAAGAAAATCGAATAAACCCGTCAAATCCAACCTGCCACTTTAAAAAAAATAATAAAAATAAATAAATAAAATGCCTAAAAAAGTAAAAAGAGACCTAAAAAGTATGAGTAGATAGTGTAACTGTAATTATTTTGGTATATTTTAGAAGATGAGCTTACTGTTCTTCCCATAAGAAATGTAGTATAAGTTTTTCATGTTATTTTAAATGTACTTTGTTCTTCATATGTTTGGCTAATGAAGATTGAATAAAATAATAGATAATTTTATTTATTTAGGGTGTATTTGATAGGGGATAATTTTCATGGAAAACGGAATTCAAATTCCATTTTCCATCTTTAGGCATGTTTAATGATACAATTTTTTCCTAGAAAACTTTTTCCACA